AACTTTTTGCTTCAGAAACAGTGTGTCTTTTATTCTCGAACCTTGTATTTAGTAGTCTTAGACCATCTGTGATACCGTGACACCAGATTTTGGGTGATTAAGGCTTAAGTAGTTGTAATAGCTACAGATTCAGATATTTTATTATTTTTCTTCCGCTTAATTAAATATTCTGCTGTTTATACGTTATCGCTTTATATCTGTTAAAAAGAATTAATTGGATAATGGAGTAATTAGTTTAAAGGATTGGCTTGCCTAGCTCACATTAGTAGGTGCTATCACGGCTCCCGAGGGTGGGAAACCCGGGTCGTGACAATTTTTGAGCATGCTTCGAAAATGGACAGATATTAAAACCAATTACTTTCATAGGACATGGGGCATTCAGGAAGAAGAAGCTTAATATTTATCATGGTTCAAAAATAATCCAGTCAAATGTAGATATCATTCTCAAGTGCTTTCATGTTATTTACAATTGATTCATCATCCAATATATGGTATTCAACGAACACTTACAAGAACCATTATAATTACCAACCTCAGCCTCAATAATAAACAATATCAAAAGCCTCAGAAGGACCAGAGTAGGCAAGAAAAATATATATTACATGTGAACTTCACTACAAATTCAGCAGTAGAGAGTTTAATAAGATTTAAATGAATCAGCTAAGCAAATCCAGATTGCGCCATAGAGAGATGGCTTGAACAATAAGTAAAATAATGTCCTAATAGAATTAAATATTGAACCATGAGTCCATGACTATCTGCTCCAAAAGATGGAATGGCAAGGAGATGATTTTAACATGAAAAAAATATAGAAACTATCTCTGTTTGGTCAATGCTGATATTTAGTTTTAACTTATTCTCTGGTCGGAAAAGATGTATGTATGTCCAGGAGAGACACTAAGTGCAATATGTTCATCCTAGTTAAGAATATTTTCAAAAGTATATTTTCCTAGAACATTTCCTCCAAGTAATTATTTATTTGAAATAGTTTGAGAGAAAATAAAAAGAAAAAGAGGAGTAGGACGAAGGTCAAATCTCGATTTTCCACTCCCTCACTAAGATTATACGGTGAGATATACCTGCTGAATGTTTCTGCCAATCAGGTATGGGTTTCACAGCCTGTCTAGTCACTTTCTTTGAAACATTGCTAGCTCGGAGAAGCTTCATCTCAGCTTCCCGTCCTGCGTCTTTTTACATTTCAACTCTTTCAGCTTCCAGCCTAGCCTGCATATGATGGAATAAAACTTATTATTACCCACAAGGACAAAATTCAATAAAACACTACCACTTTAATTGTTTGCAGAATGATTAAAAATAACTAATTCAGACAATTCATTTGGCAGTAGATGCGACGTGATAGGAGACAGATAGACAGCTAGATTTCATAGGAAAGCCAAGGATGCTAGAACCTGGGGAAAGTGAGCATTGTCACTTGTAGAAGTATGCTACAGAGAGGAAAAAAGCAGTTTCAATAATTATTAAGATTCAACAATTAAGACTCAAGGGCATGTGACCAGAAAGGCAAGTGGATAAATATAGTTTTCTTCTGAATTTTCTTCTTCCGGAAGAAAGTTTTGTAGTAAGCATATGCACTAATTTCCAATGAGCATATCTGATATCATATTGTAAATCTCTCTAGATAGCAAAAAAAATACTTACCTAGTCTTTGCTCTGATCCTTTCTTGCCGGGCTTTTTCTTCTTGAAGAGCTTTTTCTTTTCTCTTGGTTTCTTCTCGATCTGTAACATTTCTTTTTCTCCTTTTTCACTTTTAGATTTGTGCTCGTGATCCCTTCGCACAACAATTATGTGATCATCAAGTATTTTCACACTCCAGTAATAATATTGAAGTCAGATGTATATTCTCAGTAAAATTAAATTAAACTGTAAAAATTTGTAATTGTAATTAAACTTCGAAATCTGGGTACTCCAAACATGTATAGAATGAACAACAAACATTAACAAAAATTTAAGATTAAGGAGGTTGCTAGCCTATATAGCTTTAATTGCATGTTCTTCTCATATCTTAATCCCCGGTATGGAGAATGTACAAAAATTAACATTGAACATTTGTGAAAAAACATAGGCTAAATTGGTCAAGTATGGAAATAAATAGTCATATAACCACAATGACTCAGTCTGAATTGATAAAATTTACACACCGAAATAATTCAAGGCCTACTATCTCAGTCTAATCCAGTTAGCTATGTTTGTATATGCAACAGTGGTTCCATCAGTAGAGAAAAGGTAGGTATCACTGATAAATACATCAAAATCGAATTTTCATGATGTCTTGGTCTTTCGCATGTGATCTTCAACAAAGCACAGTAATTAGCTTTTCGACCAACCTATTGGTATATCATTGTCCCTTGATAATTTTACATGCCTGGAAAAAGGATAACAGAGAATAGCTCAAAAATTGTGAAACATGAAGTTATAACACATCAAATGATGCTTGCTAAGTATTTAATTTCTGCTGCTGTAATCCTTCATTTTCTGTAAAGATAAAGAAAGAATACAAAGAAAATCATGGCTTTTCTCTGGGAGTGGAAATTTCATCTCTTACTCTAGGAGCAAAAAATAATCAAAACCCCACGCAATACAAACCAAGAAGCACAACCAAATATTTCAAGAAATAATAACCAACCCATTTAACCAAATAGCTCAAAACTTCAAAAAACAATCAAAACTTTAACGCAGAACTACACTAAAACCAATAAAACCCAACTAAAGTTTAAAACAAGAAGTTCAAACGAAAATATAAAAAATATTAATGGAAACTTGAAGTTGATTTTTAGAAATTGCAACCGTCTCTATATTGATCCCTAAATCCCTCCTTATGATGTTAATGGAAACTTGTGCAATTTGTGTCCCCTCGAGAGCATCCAATTGAAAAGAATAAATTGTTACTATCGTCTTTGGGTTTAATATCCTATTTCACTTACGATTAATATTTCACTTTTTGATGATGTGTTTCAGCAATGGAATATTGAAAGTGCAAGAAGAAGATCAAGGGAAAAGCAAACGATTTGGGAAGAGAAGTGTTCAGTATAACTTGCGATAAACCAGTTTGGGGTTGGGGGCGATCTTTTTGAGGGTGAAATACGCGTGGAAACCACGGATACCACATGTGGCGCTAAAATAGTTCCAGTTTTGCCCAATTTCCAAAATAACCCTACAACAATTTCAGTATTCCTAAAATAACCCTAACTACCCCAAGCTCCTCTCTTTATTAAAGTTGTGTAAATTTTGTATAAATATTTATTTGAATCCACTTGACAACTACTATTTTACGACTAAAGTTATATACTTCTAAGATTGAACCCGCTTGCACAAAATTCTGGGTCCGCCAATGGTACCCGCGCGAATGCACGGACACTAATCATATCAAATATTTAAGTTATTTGGATTGTATGTAAATAATCTTAAAATTTACACTTTCTCAGTAAATATAGATAATCATTGGATATTATAAGGAGGGTAGTGAAGCATGAGGTTAAGCCAAGTGACAAGCTAAAATGAAGCCACTTGGTAATTTTAAGACAACATTACAAATTTGAATTACAAATGAAAACATAACTAATGCAAGTAGTAGTCTAAGATTTTCTGTAAGTTTGATTTCATTCTTTAATTAATCGAAGGCAATTAGTTAATGATTTAAACTAAAAATATTCTCTTTTTATTGATTAAAGTAGAATCTTTTGGACGTAGACAAAAAAAGAACGCAATTTTCATTAAGCAAACCAATATACTATAACTATAGGTATCTTTAATTAAAATTGTGTATAATTTATTTATGGTAGGTATCCTTTTTCGAGAAAGAATCAATAAAAAATTTATTTTGTATATTACACATTAATTTTAAGTTGAAATAATAATTCTATATTTAATACAAGCTTTGCATCTGACTCTATTTGCAAATAATATACATTAATATAGGTATCATATACATCACTATAGGTATCATTAATTAATTTTATGTATAATTCAGTTATGGTAGGTATTCCTTTTTAAGAAAAAATTAATTAAATAAATATTTTGTATCTTACATCTATATTATATTAAAGAAAATAGACTAAAAATTTTAAGAAAGAATTAATTAAACTAAAAATGTTCTCTTTTAAATGACCAAAGTAAAATCTTTTGGATGTACACAAAAAAAAAGGGCGCAATTTTCATTAAGAAAACCAATATACTATAACTATAGGTATCTTTAATTAAATAATGTGTATAATTCAGTTATCGTAGGTATCCTTTTTTGAGAAATAATCAATTAAAATTTTGTTTTGTATCTTACACATTAATTTTAAGTTGAAATAATAATTCTATATTTAATACAAGCTTTGTATCTGACCTTATTTGCGAATAATATACATTATTATAGGTATTTTAAATTAAATTTTGTGTATAATTCAGTTATGGTAGGTATTCTTTTTTAAGAAAGAAATAATTAAATAAATATTTTGTATCTTACATCTATATTATATTAAAGGAAATAGTATTAAAAAATGAACAAGAGGACAAAGGAAAATGACAAGAAAAATTAAGGCTTAATGGTTAACAAATTTTAATTAACCACAAAAAAAACGTTGAAAACTAAAAAAAGCCAAAAGCTAAAAAATGAAGATCTGTATCATTTCTTGCACACTCACTCATACAAATTCATTTACACATATCTTTTTTAAATATTAAGATTTCGTATACTTAAAAATTGATTTACTACGATAGTCTTTTCTTAGAAATCTTTATTTAAGCAACTTTTGCTTAGGTTTGGCTTCTCTACATTGCTTAGGGTTTAGCTTCCACACAAACTTCTGCAAAGTATGGCTTCAAACTATAACTATATCTGTCACACCTCCTTTTTACCGCGCCCGCGGGGCGCGTGGGGAGTTTTCTCCAATTGAAGGACAGTCGAAACGGGATTTATTTAATTATTTCAGAGTCGCCACCTGGGAATTTTAAGGCGTCCCAAGTCACCTGTTTTAATCCCTGAATCGAGGAGATTATGACTCTGTTTATTATTCTGCGAACCAGAAATCCTGAGTAAGGAATTCTGTTAATCCGGAAGAAGGTGTTAGGCATTTCCGAATTCCGTGGTTCTAGCACGGTCGCTTAACTGCTTTTATTCTCGGCTTAATTATCTTGATTTTACTAAACACGTTTTTATTGCATGATTTTATTACCGCTTTTACTTATTGTTTACAATTATATAAACGAATTACGCGTACGTATATTCGTATTATATACCTTTTATAATTACCGGGAATCGTGCCACGCGTACGTGTACACAATAAAATTTGACCATATCATTTCCTTTATTACAAATTCATATGTGCGTGATTTAAAACAAAATTATGAACGTCATCACCCTTATATTTAGACAATGAACTGCACGTCTCGGGTTATATGAAACTATTTTGACATCCTCGAAGAAATCCCTTGTATTAAATATTCGCTCGAAATTGCGCGTACGCATAATTCGAATTGCTTTTATCGGTATAATCAGGTTACGCGAACGTATCCCTAATTACACCAAATCTTCTTAATGGTATTATGAATTTTCACAAATTATTTGTTGTATCTACACATTTTATATGAGAATACTGAGAAATTCATATTTAAGGGATGTCTTTGAATTCTTTTAAAAGAAATTCACAATTTATTAAATATAGATAGTCGATTATATTTTTCCGCGTATAAATTGTATTCATCCAGACTATTCAAATTCAAAGTAAAGAATAGGAACATGATTAATACTATTCTTCACAAATACATTATATACATATACCGAAGGATGAATTGCATATGAAACTCATAAAAATGATTTATGAAGGGAAGAAGTATTTTTGAACAATTTTATTTATTTATTTAGTGCAAATTCTATCTCCAATTGCCATTGATATAAAGTGTTGCAATTTGTGCTTGTACATCTCATCTTATTCTCATATATTTACTTTTAATCTAACAGGCCTAATTATTTTATTGATTCTGCTTATGGTTAAATGTAAGATATATATATAATCAATCCGATTGGATTCTCAATTTATGAGAACCCTTGTTGCTAACTTTCATATTATAACATTCCTAGGCCATTTGTTATTTTAAGAAAGAGAACAAATCTACCTAATTGACTTAATAAGTAATATTGCATACAACATTATTCGCCCTATTTTGACGTTTGCAAACATAGCGGAGGATACTAATGCAACTTCCAACTATTGATGTTAACCATAATCATTATTACACCATATATAAATAAAAATGCAACCAATCATTAACTAGCTTTGAACAAGAACTAATTAACTAACAAAATAAACTAATAGCATATTTCCTTGATATTTCCATATCATGCTATACCTAGCTAACAATACCATAAAGTTTAAATAATGGCCAACTTTACGCCAAGTTTCCTATCTTAACTATTCAATCATAACTATACTTTAATGAAAATTTAGAAATTTAACCTTGTTACAACACTTATACAGACTGCAATAAAGGACATTTATCTTACAGTCATCCTGTCAACATATACTACTTATTTGATCAAGAAACAAAACTGAATTTTTTAGCTAAAGAGCTCAAATGAATAGAAAGTAATATTACAACTCAAACTTTATTTATTGTCATGTTGAAACCCATCACAACATAAGTTTAAAAGATGTGTACCTGGCAATGAAGGAAGAATGAGTTAAAATTTCAGCAGTAGCAGCAGTAACAAATTCAGGAGAATAGCAGTAGTTCCACAGATTTGAGCAATAATACGACCCGAGGAAACCAGATGCACAGTACAGTATTTTTTAA